AGTGTTCAGTGTTCAGTGTGTAGGGTTCAGTGTGTAGCGTTCAGTGTGTAGTGTTCAGTGTGTTGTGTTCAGTGTGTTGTGTTCAGTGTTCGGTGTGTAGCGTTCGGTGTGTAGTGTGTGTACCTAGGGGGGGCCCAGTCGTGCCGGGTGCAGTCCAGCAGGGTTCCCACGTAGGTCTTGTTCCTCCAGGTGACATTAACAACCAACATGCCTGCAGACAGACGCACAATTTTAACTCCACGAGTTCATCTACTCAACACATTCAGTGAGTTGAAACTCACACAAAACATGTGACACAAGTCAACACAACTCTAAACAGACGACCAGCTGGTGTTTTGATTTGTATATTTCTGCATCAGTACACAAAGTCCTCAAGTTAATCATCTTTTGGGGTAATAAAAACATCTTTATTTCATATTTGTTTGCTATTTGCTAACAATCCCATTGACACATAACATTAATGACTTAATCGTAGTTTAACGTCCGTATGAAAAAGAAAACATGATGTGAGTCACATGATGAGCATAAAGCATCCTTTATTTAGTCATTGATTAGTGTGTACACTGATTTCCTCCTGTCAAACTAATTCAGCTTGTTTTATTACATTAGAGGTGAAGGAGTAATCTTCCTCCTCCTCCTCACCGTATCATAAAACATTGGACTTTTGTTTTTGTACGTGAATTTACCTTCATGATGAAATGAAATGAAAGCAGCTGTGTGAATTAGCTGTATGTATATATTTGTATGTATTTTTAGGGAGACATTTGTCCTTAAATATTGAAAGAAAAATAAATATAAAAAATAAATAAAAACTAATAATAATAATAAAATAAATCAAATAACAAAATACGGAGACATTTGTCCTAAATTATTTGTCCTTAAATATTAAAATAAAAATACAAACAAATATAAAAACTGAGAATGAATAAAATACACTTTGTGTCTCCTGTTAATAGATAACACATTGCTACTAGCTCTCCTCGACTGAATGTTTTTACGTAGGTAAACAGACTCTTACCGTCCTCCGTCTCCTGCCACACGATGCCCTCCAGGTTGACACTAGTGCCTGGCTCACAGGGTCCCAGGCACTCCGGCTCCGTCCCCAGCGCCGCGTCCGCCGTGTTCACCGCTACTGAGCGCGTGCGAACCATGAGCTGCTCGCAGGGAGACGAGATGTCGCTGACGGGGACGGGAGCGAGGAGGTGGAGAAGAGGAGGAGGAGGAGGAACAGGAGGAGGAGGAGCAGGGGTGGAGACCGGAGACTCCATCTAGAGGGACAGACGGGGGAGAGAGAGAGAGAGACAGACAGACAGGAGGGAGAGAGAGAGAGAGAGAAAGGAGGGAGAGAGAGAGAGACAGACAGG